CCTAAACCCACCCCAAGTGTCCCCAAGTGTCCCCTAAGCGTCCGCAAGTGTTAAGCTAAAGGGCTGTATCCCTTGGAGTTGGTTCCCTAGGCCTACCCCAAGTGTCCCCAAGTGTCCCCTAAACCCACCCCAAGTGTCCCCAAGTGTCCCCTAAACCCACCCCAAGTGTCCCCAAGTGTTAACCTAAAGGGTTGTATCCCTTGGAGTTGGTTCCCTAAGCCCACCCCAAGTGTCCCCAAGTGTCCCCTAAACCCACCCCAAGTGTCCCCAAGTGTCCCCAAGTGTTAACCTAAAGGGCTGTATCCCTTGGAGTTGGTTCCCTAAGCCCACCCCAAGTGTCCCCAAGTGTCCCCTACTCCCACCCCGAGTGTCCCCAAGTGTCCCCTAAACCCACCCCAAGTGTCCCCAAGTGTTAACCTAAAGGTCTGTACCCCATGGAGTTAACTCTGAAGTCAACATACAAAATGTCGGCTTATAATGAGTAAAAAAGTCGGCTTAAATGAGTCTCGGACCCATTACAGTACATTACATTACATACATGAACAGGACTTGGTGCACACAATCGTATGTCACCAGAGGGGCACAAGTCCTAAGTCATCAGAACCTACATACATACATTACACTACATTACAGTACAGTACAGTACAGTACAGTACATCACATTACATTACATTACCGTACATTACATTACATTACATTACATTACATTACATTACATTACATACATGAACAGGACTTGGTGCACACAATCGTATGTCACCAGAGGGGCACAAGTCCTAAGTCATCAGAACCTACATACTTACATTACATTACATTACAGTAGTACAGTACAGTACAGTACATCACATTACATTACATTACATTACAGTACATTACATTACATACATGAACAGGACTTGGTGCACACAATCGTATGTCACCAGAGGGGCACAAGTCCTAAGTCATCAGAACCTACATACATTACATTACATTACAGTACAGTACAGTACAGTACATCACACTACATTACATTACAGTACATTACATTACAGCACATGAACAGGACTTGGTGCACACAATCGTATGTCACCAGAGGGGCACAAGTCCTAAGTCATCAGAACCTACATACTTACATTACATTACATTACAGTACAGTACAGTACATCACATTACATTACATGTACATTACATCACAGGAACAGGACTTGGTGCACACAATCGTATGTCACCAGAGGGGCACAAGTCCTAAGTCATCAGAACCTACATACTTACATTACATTACAGTACAGTACAGTACAGTGACATTACATTACAGTACATTACATTACAGTACATTACATTACATACATGAACAGGACTTGGTGCACACAATCGTATGTCACCAGAGGGGCACAAGTCCTAAGTCATCAGAACCTACATACTTACATTACATTACAGTACAGTACAGTACATCACATTACATTACATTACATGCACATTACATTACATACATGAACAGGACTTGGTGCACACAATCGTATGTCACCAGAGGGGCACAAGTCCTAAGTCATCAGAACCTACATACTGACATTACATTACATTACAGTACAGTACATCACATTACATTACATTACAGTACATTACATTACAGCACATTACATTACATACATGAACAGGACTTGGTGCACACAATCGTATGTCACCAGAGGGGCACAAGTGCTAAGTCATCAGAACCTACATACTTACATTACATTACATTACATTACAGTACAGTACAGTACAGTACATCACATTACATTACAGTACATTACATTACAGTACATTACATTACATACATGAACAGGACTTGGTGCACACAATCGTATGTCACCAGAGGGGCACAAGTCCTAAGTCATCAGAACCTACATACATACATTACATTACATTACAGTACAGTACAGTACAGTACATCACATTACATTACATTACCGTACATTACATTACATTACATTACATTACATACATGAACAGGACTTGGTGCACACAATCGTATGTCACCAGAGGGGCACAAGTCCTAAGTCATCAGAACCTACATACATACATTACACTACAGTACAGTACAGTACATGACATTACATTACAGTACATTACATTACAGTACATTACATTACATACTTGAACAGGACTTGGTGCACACAATCGTATGTCACCAGAGGGGCACAAGTCCTAAGTCATCAGAACCTACATACTTACATTACATTACATTACAGCACATTACATTACATACATGAACAGGACTTGGTGCACACAATCGTATGTCACCAGAGGGGCACAAGTCCTAAGTCATCAGAACCTACATACATTACATTACATTACATTACATTACCGTACAGTACAGTACATCACATTACATTACATTACAGTACATTACATTACAGTACATTACATTACAGTACATTACATTACATACATGAACAGGACTTGGTGCACACAATCGTATGTCACCAGAGGGGCACAAGTGCTAAGTCATCAGAACCTACATACATTACATTACATTACATTACAGTACAGTACAGTACAGTACATCACATTACATTACATTACAGTGCATTACATTACAGTACATTACATCACATACATGAACAGGACTTGGTGCACACAATCGTATGTCACCAGAGGGGCACAAGTCCAGTCATCAGAAGCTACATACTTACATTACATTACATTACAGTACAGTACATTACATTACAGTACATTACATTACATACATGAACAGGACTTGGTGCACACAATCGTATGTCACCAGAGGGGCACAAGTCCTAAGTCATCAGAACCTACATACTTACATTACATTACATTACATTACTTTACATTACATTACAGTACAGTACAGTACAGTACATCACATTACATTACATTACAGTACATTACATTACAGTACATTACATTACATACATGAACAGGACTTGGTGCACACAATCGTATGTCACCAGAGGGGCACAAGTCCTAAGTCATCAGAACCTACATACTTACATTACATTACATTACAGTACAGTACAGTACATCACATTACATTACACTACAGTACATTACATTACAGTACATTACATTATATACATGAACAGAACTTGGTGCACACAATCGTATGTCACCAGAGGGGCACAAGTGCTAAGTCATCAGAACCTACATACTTACATTACATTACATTACAGTACAGTACAGTACAGTACATCACATTACATTACATTACATTACAGTGCATTACATTACAGTACATTACATTACATACATAACAGGACTTGGTGCACACAATCGTATGTCACCAGAGGGGCACAAGTCCTAAGTCATCAGAAGCTACATACTTACATTACATTACATTACAGTACAGTACAGTACACTACATTACAGTACATTTTCCGTTTTATTTCCCCGTTGTGCTTCCCCATTGTGGTCCCTGTTGCACTACCCCGTCGTTGTGTCGAGGTCCTCGAGCCAACCGTTGAAAAAATTGATGACTTAGGACTTGTGCCCATCTTCAAAAAAATAGAAATTATAAATTAAAGCAATTAAACGAAAAATGTAAATATAATGCTTTATGTTTTTCATTTTTTGATTGTTTTTGTTTTTATTTCTTCTTTCTGTTTATATAAAAATATGTTTTGACGTATTATGTATTGTTATGTAATGTATTGTACTGTACTGTAATGTAATGTATATATATACACGTTCTGATGGCTTAGGACTTGTGCCCCTCTGGTGACATACGATTCTGTGCACCAAGTCCTATGCATGTATGTAATGTAATGTACTGTACTGTAATGTAATGTACTGTAGTATAATGTAATGTACTGTAGTGTGATGTACTGTAATGTAATGTAATGTCCTGTAGTGCAATGTACTGTACTGTACTGTAATGTAGTGTAAGTTTGTAGGTTGTGATGACTTAGGACTTATGCCCCTCTGGTGACATACAATTGTGTGCTCCTATGTATCTATGTATGTATCTCTGTATGTATGTATGTATCTATCTATCTATCTATCCATCTGTCTATCTATGTATCTATGTATGTCCGTATGTCCGTATGTCCGTATGTCTGTATGTCTTTATGTCTGTATGTATGTCTGTATGTCTGTATGTCTGTATGTCTGTATGTCTGTATGTCTGTATGTCTGTCTGTCTGTCTGTATGTATGTACGTATGTATGTATTAATGTAATGTAATGTAATGTAATGTAATGTAATGTATGTATGTATGTAATGTATGTAATGTATGTAATGTATGTAATGTATGTAATGTATGTAATGTATGTAATGTATGTAATGTATGTAATGTATGTAATGGATGTATGTAATGCATGTAATGTATGTAATGTATGTAATGTATGTAATGTATGTAATGTATGTAATGTATGTAATGTATGTAATGTATGTAATGTATGTAATGTATGTATGTATGTATGCATGCATGCATGTATGTAATGTATGTATGTAATGTATGTATGTAATGTATGTATGTAATGTGTGTATGTAATGTATGTATGTAATGTATGTATGTATGTATGTAATTTAATGTAATGTAATGTAATGTAATGTACTGTATGGTATGTATGTATGTATGTATGTATGTATGTATGTATGTATGTATGTATGCAATGCAATGTAATGTATTGTACGGTAATGTAATGTAATGTAACGTAATGTAATGTAATGTAAGTATGTACGTTCTGATGACTTGGGACTTATGCCCCTCTGGTGATAGCGGATGTTGTGCACCAAGTCCATACTCTTTTCTGATGACTTAGGACATTAGGAGAAGATATGAGAAGATTTTTTTTTACCCTAAAAAGTGCTTGAGTCCAATAACAACCCCAGTGACTTAGGACTTGGTGCACACAAATCACCTGGTACCAACACCAGTGACTTAGGACTTGGTGCACAAAATCCTAGGTCACCAGGCGGGCCTTAGGCCTAGGTCACGGGACCGTAATATATATAACCTCCATGCAATCCCCATGTGCTGATGAACCCGTCATTTGTCCTCCCACCCAACGTGCGTTTTTCAGGTTTGGCCGCGACGTGCTGTTACCCAACGTGGATGAAACGGCGCAGGTGAGCGATCTCATCGTCCGAACTGCTCAGTGGGGTCAGGGTTCCACCAGGGCAGTTGAGGATGGAAGGTTCCTGGTGGGATATGGTTGTGGGGGATTTGGGATTTATTATGGAAATTTATGGAATTTGTATGAGACTTTTTTTGGGAATTATTTTTTGGATTCAATGCTAAAATTACATAGTCGGACGTAATGGGATCTAATTTCTATGGGAATATATCATGGGGATGGGGATATTATGAGGATATTATGGGGATATAACCTACTTGGGGGCGCAGTTGAGGTTTTTTGTTTTTTTTTTTAAATGGATATAATATAGATAGCCTCCACAAGTCGGAATCTAACCTCAACTTACTATGGTTATATGTGTATATATATATATATCCACTTGTAACCCCAACTACACCCCCAAGTATGGTATATATGAGATATATGGGATCTAGATATGGGTTAATTTCATGTACCAACTACCATACTTTTTCATGAAAGTAGATCAGTGAGCTATGAACGATTGTGATTTTCGATAGCTATGCTAAATTGCCAGAGGGTATGGTATATTTGGTAGTAACCACCATAAAGATAGAAGCGTAAATCATTTAAATCATAGTCAAATTAGTAAGGTGTTTCATCATTTGTTTACAACATTTTTTAGGGACGACTCTACATGATCATGTATAATTATGATTAATTATGTATACAGTATACAATTATATACATACATATGTGTAATATATATTGTATCCACAATATCTTATAACCCGCAGGGTTCAGTTTCGTCTTACAAGATATCGTCATCATATAAAAGGTGGATCAGACAATCGTAAACCATCCCCCAGTCATCACCATCGTTTATAGTTACCATTCCCAGTCATGGGTGGTAAACATGGCATTGTTTTACCCAGACTATCCACCGATCCATAGGTATCACCAAAGGAACGATCCCCATGAATTTTGAGCCACAACCAAATATGTTGTGAAACACTATGAAATACACATATGCAGCACACACACACATATATATATATATACATATATATATATACATATATATATATATACATATATATATATATACACATATATATACATATATATATATATGTATATATATATATTTATATATGGATGATTTGGGGGTACCCCCTGAAACATGCCTTCATGATTTAGGAAACTGCCCGATATTCTTTTTTGCTCGTAGCACAGCAACTTCTGACATGTTTGGAGCCACCTGTCATTCTTGCGGGAGGTGGAACTGCGAGTCTCAGACATCGATTTTCTGTAACATCTGCGGGGCATCTTTTCAATTCGCCCAATTATCTAAGGATTCCAGATTAACCGCCAGAGATTTTCAAGATCTGAGCGGAAAACTCCACCAACTTATTGGGGAGTACACTGTAAAATTGGGATCCTCAGGAGTGCCCGTCGAAAAGGGTTCTTCTTCTGCACCAGGGCACACAACTATCAACCGAAGACCCCCTTCACCTCCTTGCCCCAGGGATAGGCGTAGGAGGCGTAGAGAGGAATCTTCTAGGTCCCCCGAAAGGAAAAGAGCAAACAGCCCCCGCTGGAAACCTTCGCTTCGGCCCCCTCCTTCCCCAGCCATAGGAGGTGGAAATTTAGTTCTCAAGCCAAGAGAACCCACACAACATCATCCAAACAACACCCAAAGGTCGGCACAACACAAGCCAGTGGTGGTGCCCCCCCGTATCTTTCCACCCCCTGCAGAGCCCCCAAGCTCTCCTAAGCCCCACAGGGATCAAGGAGCAAAAGGCACAGGCAAGAGCAAGGACAGCAAGAAGGCAAAGAAAGCTAAGAAGAACAGAGGCGTGAATCGCCGCACTTGGTGGGAAAAAAATTTGGAATCCAAGGGCAAGAGCAAGCCCGGCACTGCTGCAAAACACACGGAAAGTTGCGAAAACAAGCCGCTTCTGAAAAGCCAGGTTGAAGAGATTCTTGACGAGGAACTTCACCCAGATACAGAAGCCAAACCTTCTCCTCCTGCTTCTCCCTTTGAAGCACAGGAGAACTCAAGCCCTGAGCCAGCAGTAATCTTAGAGGAACGTGAGAGGAGCTGGGCGGATGCCTCCGAAGAGATCGATCCGTAGACCGGCAAGTATCTTTCAAGCTGCAAAAGCAAAATCCAAGGCAGTCGCCAAAGCAAGGCCAAATAAGCAAAAGCACCCAGAAACGACACAACGCGCCAAAAAAACAGAAAGATGGCTCTCTCCCGAGGCCGTTCAAGAAACAACTTTTCCCCTCAACAGCCTCCTAGAAGTAGAGTTGTTCTACTTGAGCGAGGTAGGGAAGGCATACGGCAAACTGGCAGAGACCCACCAGGATTCCGAGGGCAGATTGCTCGGGATCCTTATTGCAGGCACGAATTTGCCGAGCCTCCGGCAATGGAGGTTATCCCATCCCAACAACACGAACATTTTCTACGTTTGCTACATTCCAACCCCACACGAGAAGCGCTTGACCCTGGACAGTGTAGGCTATTTGAAGAAGGTTCGGAAGGTAGAGGCAATAGGCGAGGAGTGGGGCAAGAATTGCGAGGCAGCAGCTCCTCCCCCCACAGGAGTTACCCCCGAAACGCAAGCCCTTCACGAAGCAGCGCACAAATTCGGCTTTCGGCAAGGCCTCGCAGCAGAGGCAGAAGCTCCAGCCCCCGAAGAACCCTTTCTACCTGCGCAACCTTCAAAGCCAAGCAAGAAACAGAAAGGCTCCACGAAAGTGAAAGAGATGGTCGCCCGATCCAAGTGGAGCTCAAAAGGAACTCCGCTAGATCCTCGCTTCAAGCGCCCCGTGAAAGTATCCTTGAAAGAGAAGAAAACTTCCAGCAGCTCCAGCAACACCAGCAGCTCGTCCCAAAGCTCGTCCCTCTCAAACGACCCTCAGCTCAGGAAGATTTCCAAGAAACTCCCCGGGTATTTGTGCCGAAGAGCATCCAAAGAGGCGGCGACCGTTCTGTCTCAATCCACAGCAGGAGAACAGATCGACACTTTCCAAGTGTTCCGGCGGTATTACCGTCAAGTTCTCTTGACCAAGGTCACGTCCAAGCCACTCCTTCGAGAGATGCAGACGATCTCAACAGTGATCGATACAATACTCGACGGCAACATTCTGTCCAGCCTCGACATGCTGAGCCAACGATTGAAAAGCTTGGAGCTACTGGCAACAGGAACCCCAGCAGAGCTAGCCAGCCAGGTCGAGCTTATCCCCAAAGATTTCTTAGGTCTCACATCTCAAGCAGAGGGCAGATTCGCAAAGAAAGAGTTTGCAGCAGAAACGAAGCTTCAAAAAGCATTGAAAGGAGGAAAAGGGAAAGCAGATCCTCCTCGCTTTACCGAAGCCAAAGGAACGAAAGGTCATGCCAAAGGGAATGGGAAAGGTGCTCCAAAAGGAGGAAAGGAGAAGGCAGACGAGAGCAAGGTCGTGAGGCTGTGAATGGCAAATTGGCTCTAGCCAATTCAGGAAGGTGCCAAAGCGCAACCTCCTCTCCCGGGGTCTGCGGTGAGGCCGGCGTGGGATTGAGCCATGGTGCTGCAGATGGGTGGAACTTTGAGGCCAGGTTTGAGACCCGCAGCGAACCGGATGTTTTCCTCGGGGACTTGGGGGGAACCATGCTGGAACTTCTGAAATCCCTACCCCCTCCAAAATTTTCGGATTTGCAGGACCATTCTAAGGAGGACATTTTTCCCCTCCCCTTGCCCCGTGGTAACATGACCCCGGGCGGCAAGCGTGTTCAGGAGTGGGAGGAAGGGATCATCAGAAGTCTAAATTGGCTTTCTACAGGGTCTTTTGCTTTGGGGGAGGGAAACCCTACACGACTGCAACAAGACTTGTTGAAAGAAATTCGGGAATCGCTTCCGGTTGTTTCAGCGTGGATGGATGTAACTGTTTCGCACATCTCTCCCCATGAATTTTGGAACCAAAAGTATGTAAATAGTTATGGGGAGGAAGTGCATGTAGCTCAGAGTGTGAGGTGGGAGAACATTGATGAAAGTTTGCCGAAGGCAGAACTTTCAGGGATTGTTTCAGCAGAAACCATGTGTACAGGCGGGATGAAGGATTTTATTCTCCACCCCGAAAAATGGTTAAAACCACCAAATGATCGGGTTTGGATGAAACCTCCAAGAGTTATGATTCCTCCGGATGCTTGGGAAGATATGGTTTCAGGGCTCCTACAAAGAAACATTTGCGGTGTTATCCCTGTTGAAAATGTTTTCCATGTAAACGGGTCTCCTATACTAGGAGGTTTGTTTGGTGTCCCCAAAGGGGAAGTCAAAGCTTGTGGCACCCCCATCCTGAGACTCATTATGGATCTAAGGGGAATAAACCAAAATTTCTTATCTTTGGGAGGGGACTTGATTACCCTCCCCGTACTTTCGCAACTTTTCCAACTCCAACTTCAGCCGCATGAAGAATTGGTCATTTCTTCAGAAGACATCCGAGCAATGTTTTACGTGATTGGCTTGCCCCCGGAATGGGCCAAGTACCTCGCTTTTGCTCGTACAATCCCAAAGAAATTCAACCCTCCAGGTATCACCGGGGATTGCGTTTTATATTCAAAAGTTCTACCAATGGGCTACATAAATAGTGTGGCCTTAGCTCAACATTTGCATAGACAAATTGTAGGTAAAGCCCTTTCCTCAAATCAGGAGGTGAGACGGGACCGAGAATTCCCCAAAGCTCAGCAATACTATAGGACGTATTTAGATAATTTCGACGAGTTGTCTAAACGGTCCCAAGCGGTTCTTGCCTCAGGGCAGCCTTCATTGGTGGAACTCCTTCAAGCAGAATACATCAATGTGGGTGTACCTCGGAATGAAAAGAAAGCGGTGAAGACTCACTCTTAGCAGAAATGCAAGGCGCACTAATAGATGGGACAAAAGGCGTCGCGTACACGAAACCAACCAAAGCCGCCAAGTATTTGGTTAGTTTGTTGGAAGTAGTGCGGCAGGGTCGAGCAAACAGAAAGCAGGTTCAAATGCTAGCTGGTGGACTAGTGTACTTGTTTTCATTTCGTCGGCCATTAATGTCCTGTTTGAATTCTGTTTGGGAATTTATCGTCAAATTCGACAATGACCGAATAACTAAACCCCTCCCTAGGCAGGTAACAGAAGAATTTGTTGCCTCCTTTTTCTTGAGCGGGGTAAGCTACATGAATTTCCGATTGGGGGTCAATGAAGTTGTCACAGCGTCGGATGCCTCCGAGGACGGAGGGGGGCTTTGCCAAAGTCTCCAGCTCACAGAGCAGGGGGCCAAGGCTTCAGTTTCTGCGGTGAGAGGTGAAATTGCAGAAGAAGAGCCGGAATCGGGTTTGTTGATCATTTCCTGCTTTGACACCATTGGATCAGTACGTGTAGCAATGGACTCCTTGAAAGCTCCAGTTACAGGGTATATCTCTATAGACCCGGACCCGCATAGTTCTCGTGTGGTAGAAGCATCGTTTCCGACTTGTGATTTTGTGTCAGATATCGCGCATGTTTCTTTAGCTGACATCATGATTTGGGCTGGTAAATACCCTAACTGTTCAGGGGTGTTGGTTTCAGGGGCACCCCCCAACGAGACACTCTTAGACACTATTTGCCAAATTTTCAAGTGGGCGCAAGAAGTTTTCACTTGGTGTCCGGTCCATATCCTGGTGGAATCGGTTTCCAACCTTGATAGAGTGGCTAGATGTCGATTTTCAAAATCAGTTGGGTTGCTTCCATATTTGTTTGATTCCAAGGGGGTCAGCTTGTGTAAAAGGCCCCGGTTGTGGTGGTTTGACTGGAACATCCAACAACAAGAAGGTCTAGATATTTTTCCTCCCTCATCAATTGATCCATCAGACTATGGTGTTGTAGAAGCTAGGGGGCAGGTTGACCCGTCGGGTCTCCTTAGCCCGGGCTGGAAAATGACCAACTCCGCGCAGAGGTTTTCTACTTTCACCCCATCTCAGCCAAAAGCTCTGCGACCTGGCAACAAACCGCATGGGTGGCATGGATGTTCACTTCCAGACTTGCAAAAATGGGAAGGGGACCGGTTCCGGTTCCCCCCCCACACATACCGTTTCACCAACGGTGTTGTTCATAAGAAAAAGGGATGGAGACTTTTGACCATTGAAGAAAAGGAAGTCATAATGGGATACCCCCGGGGATTTACTTTACATGCTTCCACCAAAAGTGTTCGAAAGAATCACCCTTTAGAAGCTGATGATGTTCGTATGAGCCTTGTAGGTAGGTCTTGGCACGTAGGAGTAGTTTGCCTACTCCTTCAAGATCTCCTTCACAAGTTAAAAATAGCCCAGCGGCAGCCGATTCAATGCGTTCTTGATCGTCTCAGGCCTGGCGTTGCTGAGTCGCTGAGTGGCTTCCTGTTTCGCCCGGCCATGGGAAACCGGATGCCGTTTCGAACATCGACAGATTCTCTCGAACAACGTAGAACTCTAGTAGAAAACCTTTGCCATTTAGTGTCTTCCAAGGGTTCTGATGTTCTTCTTACAGCAGGAACTGAACCATTACCCAGTACTCATAGATTTCGAAAATCCATCCCAAGGGGTCTCTGGCACTGGGCCACAATTTGCGGCTGGCGATGGCAGCATCACACCCCCGAACACATAAACAAATTAGAACTCAAAGCAGTTTACACATCGTTGAAGTGGAGGGTGGCCCGCCAACGGTTGCGTAATTCCAAAATGTTGCATCTAGTAGATTCAATGGTATCCTTACAAGTTTTAAACAAGGGTCGAAGCTCCTCCCACAAACTTAGGAGAATCACCAAAAAATGCTGCGCATTGCTGATTGCTAGCCGTCTCTTTCTCGTTCTTGCATACATTGACACGAAACAAAACCCGGCCGATAGGCCTTCTCGGAGGCCTACCAAACGCAAATGGGCAAGCGCCAAATAGTTGAGTGTCAAAATAAGCAAGAACGGAAACAGAGACGGCGGCAATTAGGCAGTTTACAGCAGTTGGTTATCAAACGCAGTACCGAATTGCGGTATGAGAGGGCATTCCGGTGTTTTTTGCAATACCTTTCTGGCGAGCGGCAAACTTTAGGGGCCACCAAGGAGAGAGTTGATACCCAAGCCCAAGAGTTTATAGAATTTTTGTGGGAAGAAGGTGAAGGGCAATCATTTGCTGCTGATGTGTTGAGCGCAATTCAACACTACCAACCTAGTATGCGTAGGTGCTTGAACGGTAGTTGGCGCTTAATAAAGACATGGCAGCGTTATGAAATTCCCGCAAGAGCTCCCCCAATAACTTGGCAGATTCTTCAAATACTCATGGGCTTTTTCCACCAACAGTACCAGTCTCCTGAAGTGGCTTTAGGTTTAGGAGTAGCTTTCCGTTGCCTGTTGCGCACGGGAGAACTCCTTGCTCTCCAGGCGCGGGATGTAGTTATTCCTGCTGGGTCGCACTCCGCTGTTTTGTATTTAGGTGAGACAAAAACAAGCCCCCGATATCCACATGCCGGCACGGTTTCATGCCATGACGCCACCTTGGTAGATTTGTTACGTATGTGGAAATCCACGTGCGACCCAGAAGCCTTTCTCGTGCCTTGGACACAATCCCGTTTTCGGTCGGCTTTCAGTTCAGCTCTGATCACCTTGCGTTTAGACCACTACCAGTATAAACCTTACTCATTAAGACGCGGTGGGGCTACTGACCTTTGGTTGACATGCCGTAGCTATAGCCAAGTGGCCCACACTGGTAGGTGGTCAGCTGAAAGAACTGTCAAAGTTTACATTCAGGATTCTATCGCGTTTTTGACCGAACTGACCTTTCAAACATCCCCAATTCACACTAAATTTCTACATCATTGGCAGGAGGTTACCCGTAGCTGTGTTGAGCCTCGACGTAAGTCGACAAAGCGGGGACGTGGAAGGTGAAGGATATATATTACCTCCTTGTTTCATGAATTCAGTCAGTTGTCACCAGATTTCATATGACGACGTTTTTGTGTTTCGCCATGTTGGCCAACAGAGTGGCTTTTTCAATATGGCTACTTTTGATCAAAAGAGACTTCGGGCAGGGGCCGCTCAGTGTTCATTTTCTACCAACTCTGGTCCTGCTTCAGCACAAAAAAAGCGAGGGCGCGATTCCTTGAAACATGCCTTCATGATTTAGGAAACTGCCCGATATTCTTTTTTGCTCGTAGCACAGCAACTTCTCCCACCTCCCCCAAGCCCGAAGTTTCTGCCCCGGAAGGTGAAGGATATATATTACCTCCTTGTTTCATGAATTCAGTCAGTTGTCACCAGATTTCATATGACGACGTTTTTGTGTTTCGCCATGTTGGCCAACAGAGTGGCTTTTTCAATATGGCTACTTTTGATCAAAAGAGACTTCGGGCAGGGGCCGCTCAGTGTTCATTTTCTACCAACTCTGGTCCTGCTTCAGCAAAAAAAGCGAGGGCGCGATTCCTATTTATGGAAACTCCCATATATGACAATGTAAACTCACAAGCATACTCCGCTTCAACGCATAGAGCCGAAGCACCGGCCTAAGGAGCCTCAAAGACCGCGACTCAGCAGTAGGCTCGAGAGCTTGGCGGGGAGTTTTGCTGGGGACGGCAGGGTCTCTGGTTCAAGACAACGAGCAAAACTATGGTGATTTATCATGGGATTTACTGTATATGAGACTTACATGGGATTTCATGCGATGTTAATGGAATGTTAACGGGATTTTATGGTGATTAATTAAACATTTACACACACACATCTAACCACAACAATGGTAGTTGATGGGATTAAATTCATGTTATGGGACTTCATTGGGATTGGACATGGGGATAAATATTAAAAAGAACATTCACCAACAGAAATAGGGATATGAATGAGATTCACCCTCCAATAATTCGGTTCGATTTTCCAATAGAAATAGCCCATTTGGTTTGATTTTCCCTAGCTAAATTACCATAAGAAATCCCCGTTATCCAATCATAGTCATTGAGTCACCATTTTTCCCCAAACTGTGTGGCCACACTGAGGGGTTCTTACGGTAACAGTTAAGGGCCGGCGTTCAATCGAGGTGGTAAGCGTCCGGCATTTTCCCTGTAAATTTCCGCACAAAATGCCTCTTGTGACATGTCCATGTGCATTTCGACTGCGCAGGCTCGAACAAAATGCTGGCCGCATCATCATCATCATCATCATCATCATCATCATCACCACCATCGTCATCACCAACATCAGCATCATCATCAGCATCATCGCCATCATCAACATCACCATCATCATCAACATGATCAACATCAACATTAACATCATCATCATCATCATCATCATCATCATCAGCAGCAGCAGCAGCTGCAGCAGCATTAACATCATCAAAATTAACATCATCATCACCATCACCGTCACCATCAAAATTAACATCACCATCATCATCATCATCACCATCATCGTCATCATCATCATCATCATCGTCATCATCATCATCATCATCATCACCATTACCGTCACCATCAAAATTAACATCATCATCATCATCATCATCATCATCACCATCATCGTCATGATCAGCATCACCATCTTCACCAAAATCAACATTAACATCATCACCATCACCGTCACCATCAAAATTAACATCATCATCATCCATTATCATCATCATTATCATTATAAACTCCATAATTAACATCATCACCATCATCATCATCACCATCATCATCATCACCATCACCGTTACCATCAAAATTAACATCATCATCATCATCGTCATCATCATCACCATCAACATTAGCATCATCAACATCACCAGCAACATTAACTTCATCATCATCATCATCAACAACATCAGCATTAATATCACCACCATCATCACCACCATCGTCATCACCAACATCAGCATCATCATCAGCATCATCGCCATCATCAACATCACCATCATCATCAACATGATCAACATCAACATTAACATCATCATCATCAGCAGCAGCAGCAGCTGCAGCAGCATTAACATCATCAAAATTAACATCATCATCACCATCACCGTCACCATCAAAATTAACATCACCATCATCGTCATCATCATCATCATCGTCATCATCATCATCATCGTCATCATCATCATCACCATTACCGTCACCATCAAAATTAACATCATCATCATCATCACCATCATCGTCATGATCAGCATCACCATCTTCACCAAAATCAACATTAACATCATCACCATCACCGTCACCATCAAAATTAACATCATCATCATCCATTATCATCATCATTATCATTATCAACATCAGCATTAACATCATCACCATCATCATCATCACCACCATCATCATCATCACCATCACCGTTACCATCAAAATTAACATCATCATCATCACCATCGTCATCATCATCACCATCAACATTAGCATCATCAACATCACCAGCAACATTAACTTCATCATCATCATCATCATCAACAACATCAGCATTAATATCATCACCATCATCACCATCACCACCATCATCATCGTCACCGTCACCATCAAAATTAACATCACAATCATCATCATCACCATCAACATTAACATCATCATCATCATTATCATCTTCTTCTTCATCATCAGCATCAACATTAACTTCATCATCTTCGTCTTCATCATCACCATCACCATCATCACCATCATCGTCATCATCATCATCACCACCATCATCGCCATCATCAAAAATAACATCATCATCACCATCATCGTCGTCATCTACATCACCATCATCATCAACATCATCATGAGCATTAACATCATCATCATCATCATCATCAACACTTTAATGTCCTTTTTACTCCCCTGCATTGTTTGGGGCCTCTTGCCGGGATAATTTAATGGTAAAAACAATCTTTTTCATGGTGGATGTTTACTTCTAGTAGCTCAACATGCAAAATTCTGGATGAATTCGCTGGATCCATTGAAACCCCACTTGATCTTTGCAGTGATGGGGCCCCAGCAGTGAATCCAGGCAAAACGTCAAGTATGGATAGCTGCAACCGCATTTTTCTACGGATTTATTTACATACACTTATACACTCATATGTGTACGTATATATATATATATATATTATACGTAAAGACCAAATATCAACACTACATATCATAGGCATATAATTTCATATATGTTAAATATACATCGTGGTCGTGACAGGATGGGCCCCCCCTTACTTTTCCAGTGGACTGCCAAAGATTTACCGCCCAAGTCCCCAGTCCCTAGTCTCTTGACGGCTGAGAGAACATGTCGGCTGAGGGTATGGAACCTCAAAAAATGGTGGCACACGAAAAAATCAATTTTGGGAGCACTGACAATGCCAGATGTGATGGCTAGTAACTTAGTGTATAGTAGTATGGAATCTGTATCTGGTGGTGCCACGACCAGCCTTTGGAAAATATAGCCATTAAACACACAATCACCATGCCGTCGTCTAGGCTTGCAACAAAAAATCAGTGGTTTTGATGGGGAAACACCAAATGTTCCTAGGTGGTGTTTCTATTCTTCCAGCTTTGACCAGGGAAAGTCAGGTTTGAAAAAAAAAGACAAGTATTCCCGCCTAAAGGCAATAACAGTGCCCGAAACCCTGGTTGATGAGTTATTCTAGGAGCTTAATACTACACCTGTTTCACAAGTACAATTACAGAAACTACCAATGAAGTTAGTAACGTTGTTTCCCAAAAATAAATAAAGTTGTTGATGGTTTACTCAGTAACCTACTAATTTCTATCCGTTTCTGAAAACCAGGCTGGATCCCATTGATGAGTCCAAGATGGTAATGAAGCTGTCGCAAGAAAAAAGTGCCTCGGGCTGGTCGAGGGTCGATGTCAATTGGATGGTCGGAAAATGGTCTTTTTTCATTGGAAACCCTCTGGTAATGACTGTTACAGTTTGCGACATAGAAAATGGCCCATTTAGTTCGTTGATTTACCTATCAAAAGTGGTGATTTTCCATAGTTTTTTGTACGTTTACCAGAGGGTAGATAGGCTATGCAGCAAAATACTATACATATCTGAGATCCAGTGGTTGATTGATTAATCTTGTTTTCCTCAATCAAATGGCGGTTTCCGAGGTCATGTTGGTACTCCCAAATCATCCAAGTCATGGATGACCATTTGAGTATTGAAACCTTTGGTTTTGGGGATCCCCCATTTTAAGAACCCCCCACATAGTGGTTGATGATCATGTTCCCCCCCAAAATGGCCTTTTTGGGGACTATAGCTATATTGCCATCTCAGTAGGTTGGCCAACGTTCTTCCTAGTCCAGAACTTGGTTTACTGCCAGCACCAGAGCTTGAAGGTCTACTTGACTTGAGAGGGTAGCTGTTCTGTTTCCAACCATTGACGCTCTGAACTAAAATACCGACTTGTCAGCTCCTTCGTATTTACTCTACTCTCAGCATGGTTGCCTTGACCTTCCGAATACCATTTGATTGGTCGGTCCTGGAACCCCTAGTGTTTCCCTAGGGATTTGTTCGACTAGCAATGAGGGTGAAGACCATCGTTTTGATGGTCTTCAAAATTTCAAAAACCCAGTCCCCCAACGCGCTACCAACTAAGTTCTTGGTCTATGTGGGGAGTCACTGCTTGGCGGTTTCACATCCGAATGATGATGATGATGATGATGATGAGAATGATGATGATGAGGATGAGGATGATGACGTTGATGATGATGATGATGATGATGATGAACCTGATGAAACTGATGATGATTATTATCATCCCCACTTGACTCAAATATAGTTGAAAGCTACCAGCACCCAACAAGCAGATGGATTTGCCGTATTTTCAATCTGAGGTGCCAGCTACTACCTACGCGTAGCGAAGCAGATGCTCACAGGAGCACAGGCGGTCGCCACGGATCTTTTGGGTGGATCATTTGACATTGACCAGTGCTGTGGATTGTCACTTATATATCATAATATTATATCATACATAATTATATAGTTACATATCATTGCAATATCATTTACTATATGATATAAATTGATATAATATGATAATCATATACTATCTATTGCTAATGAGATATCTATACATATTTTTATAAATGATATTTGCCTCTCAAAGATGCCGTACAACCATTTGAAGAGGGGAACAGAGGATGGGTATAAATGAAATGGCTCTAGATTGGGGATCCATTTTTATGGGGTCCAAACTTGGTGTGGTGGAATGGGGGCCTTGGGAACGTCGAAATATCCTGCATATGACTACATGAATCGAAATTATTCTGACTGTTTTTATCTTCCAAGAATTTTCGGGATTGAGATTAACCGCCAATTCGATCTCTCATACATATATATATAATATACATATAAATACATATATACACATATACATACATATACATGCATATATATATATATATATTTACATAATATACATATATATATATGTTTACATAATACATATACATATATACACATGTACATAAACATATACATATATACATATACACATGTACATATATATATATATATATGGATATATATATATACATGTGTATATATACATATATATATATATACATATATATACATATATATATATATATATACGTATATATATATATACACATATATATATCCATATATATATAAATACATATATATATATATACATATATATATATATATACATACATATATACACATACATATACATATGGATGTCTCTTTCGTACTAATGTGATGCGGCCGAAATTCTTGGCCCTCATTGCGACGATGTCATCGAAGCCAGGACAAAGCTGCCTATGACCTGTTAGAGCTCAATGCATTGGGCTATGTCACTACGACCTGATTTGGGAATAGATAGTAGACCCATGACCCATGGGAAGGGGGTTGGCACCAGACATGTCAGTGTCTTGGTGGAATCTATTCTGCCAGTGGCTCCAAATAGCTCCTGATGTCGGTTGAAAGCTAGCGATTCCGAGAATCAATTCGACATCACCAGACTTTCTTCAGGAATTCTCAGAGACTCCCGGTTTTTTTCCTAGTTGTTTCTGGGTTTTGGCATGTTTTGGTCACTTTTTCACATCAGAATCGACCACAAAATGTGTTGCCTCGAGGCTATTCCGCTGGCCACTGCGGTGGCTGCGGCATTGGAGGAGGAGAAGCTGGCGCAGGTGCAGCAATTTCTTGGGATGTTAAGCCAGAAAAATGGGCATATGATTAGAATAAAACTATGATTTATGGATATTTGGATGGTTTATTGTGGATATATCTTTGCTATTCTATAGTTAATTAGTTAATGGGTTTAGAATCCAACAAACACAAATTTAAACTATACTTAGATGGTATATATATATATATACATACTATATGGGAGGGATATTTATGACATAGATAATCACAATGTTCAGAACCTTCATTGGAGGTTTCTAAATCATGGGGGTACCCCATTTCAACATCCAGTCGTCATGGCTATGACTTAGTAAGCCGGTTAAGCCAGGGTGACAACTGGAGATCCCCTTTTTCCCCCATGACTTAGGAAACAACCAGAAAAGAATAGTCAGATTATATATATATGATAATATGGGGAATGGATATATATATATATACATATAACTTATATAACACTTATATAACTTAAGTAATTTATCTCGAGGTATAACCAAACGTAACGTTTGACTTTACACCGGGGATGTGATGGACCTTCTGGAGAGATGAGGGATTACTATGGATTACTGGATTGCGGCATGAGGCATGACCAATCACTTCATGGCGATATTACTAGATCTGGTAATGACTAACAGTTTGCTATTGAAAATTGTCATAGAAATAGCTGATTTACCCATTAGCATGTTGATTTTCGATAGTTTTTTGTACGTTTACCAGAGGGTAATGGACATGCTTATCCTCCAGTAATCAAACATGGCTGGGAAATCTCTTTACTTCGAGGGTTCCCCTTGGCGAACGAAACTTCCGGCGGCGGGGATTTTCCAGCCAGCCAGCTACGCTTGATTCCGAAAGGGTCATTCCATGAATCACCATTGGTCACCATTAATCACCATGAATCAGCATTCAAACCATCATTCTCAACCATTCTTAACCATTATTGAAAATGATTGGTGGCTAATTTATATTAATTTATGGGTTTTTTTCACTTTGAGAACTACAGGGTTTTTTTCACCAACATGAGCAGAGCCGTCGATCATCCACAAAATGCGCTTGGCAACTTGCTGACCGTGGGCAGCCATGACTGATACATTCGAACATCAACCAACCGCTAAAAAGGGGATATTCTGGATTTCCAGAAATGGGGTATATACTCCAAAATGGATGGTTTATATAAACGAGGATCCCATGAACAAATGGATGAATAAAAAATTAGGGGTACCCTCATTTATGGAAGTCCCCATATATTTGATGGAAATCATCCATGGGAATTGATGGGATATAACTTAAACCTAACATATGGGGAGTGACCATTGAGGGTTGAAACCATCATTGTTGATCATTCTGAATGATTAGCCTTGCTGATAGCATCATCATCGGTTGTCATTGTCTTGGCATCGGTGATAGAGCCAACCATTTTGCAGGGACACGCGGGTTGGCCACCACTGAACCGTGAATATGATGGGATATGATGGAATACAGGATATGAACACAAAGCGGCACATATTTCACCAGTATCAAACATTATTAACCAACAAAATGTTAATGTGTTTGTCCAGAAATGGTCCAGCACCAAACATGGCTGAGATGGGGCTGCAGATGGCCTCCCCATAACATGAGGGAAACCAAGTGACATGGTAACATGGCCCTGAAGAGCAAACGCATCAAAGCGGTTTCCATAATCACTTCGATTTGTCCGCCTATGTTCCAATGATTTGGTGTCTAAAACCATCTAAAACCATCACTGTTTAGATCTTTTTGGCCCTTGGAATCTTGGAGTGGTTGATCCCCAAACATATTTTGCCAGTGAACATATGCAAACCCGACATGATCATTATCCTTGTGGGTTGAATCAGCGGAGAGTTTTCATGTGGGAAGCCCCAATCATCAATCGACCATGTGGGATGCTCGGTATCAACCATTGATATCCATTGATTGTATGATTGTGATTTTGGAACATGTTTTATTTTCCATTTCATACATGGGATGTCATCCTTCCCATTGACGAACTCATATTTTTCAGAGGGGTGGCGAAAAACCACCAACCAGTTGTGATTTTGTCTTATCACATTACTGTAAACAGCCTTAAAAATGCGGGGCGTATCAGCTCGCATAGCTCGCAAGCTCGCCGTAGGGGATCATCACCAGTCACTAGGCCCTGCCAAGTGGATCGAGTTTGCTGAGCAGATTTGAGTAACCCATGAACAAGTGGGTAGTATGAGTAACCTTCCCAATGAACAGATTTAAGATTTTGCTTCCCAATGATTTTTGAAACATATTTTTGTGTTGAATTTTACTTCTCTTGATGATTTTGTTTCAGATTTTGAGTTGATTCGTTTTCAACATGACTTTCACAGAAATGAAGGGATTGGACCCAGCAGCAACCGCAAGGTGCAGTCGATCCGCACCGACTTACGGGAAGTGCCGCAACCCAGATGCCAGAGTTGCTCATAGGAACTGATTTGCCACCCATGGGAAAAACGTTGTATATAATATATATATATGTTATATTATATTATATATTATAATAATATTGCAATATATATAATATATATATTATATTAATATTGCAATATATATATACACATATTTTACAACATATATATATATATACATATATACATATATTATATGTTGTCCTAAAGTTAAGTCAATGAGAAGACATCCAATATTTTTTGTGAGTAACCCTGGAAGTGTGGGTATGTTGTACATAATACTATATACATGTAATATCATTATATTGTATGAGATAGTTTGTTTAACTTATCAACCGCAAGTAACATGGAGGATGTAGCTCATTTGGTGAACCGTAAAGCCATCCTTCCCTTTGGAGGGATACCACAAACAAAGATCTGTTTGACCATAGACTGATGATGATAAAGTATAGAACTATGTGGGATAAGTGCAATATAATATTACGGCCAGGCCCCATGTGTTGCCCGGAGATTTACAGGGACGTTCCCGGCATGTTGATGATGATGATGATGATGATGATTGAAGATCTTCAATGAATGTAAGAGGTTAACGGAGTTGGGGGAATTAAACCTTTATTGAAGATCTTCAATGAATGTAAGAGTTTAACGGGGGTGGGAGAATTAAACCCTTATTGAAGATCTTCAATGAATGTAAGAGTTTAACGGGGGTGGGGGAATTAAACCCTTATTGAAGATCTTCAATGAATGTAAGAGTTTAACGGGGGTGGGAGAATTAAACCCTTATTGAAGATCTTCAATGAATGTAGAAGTTTAACGGGGGTGGGAGAATTAAAGCCTTATTGGAGATCTTCAATGAATGTAGAAGTTTAACGGGGGTGGGAGAATTTATATGAGATGTATAGTGTGAACAAAAAATCCTTGTAATTTACGCTATTCTGGGCTTGGGCAACACAAGGGGCCTGTGGGTAATATTACAATCAAAAAATGTGAACAGAAACTGTTATTGGGTCTTGAGTTTCAACCCATCATCGCATTTTGAAAACATCGGAAAACAATCTTTGCAAAATCATTGGTTTGGGTCCTTAGCTTAGCATGTTCGTTCGGTACGTTTGGGCGTTCAGAACGCACGTTTTAAAAACTCGCGTTCCAGAACGCGCGTTCTGAGTGAATCCTTTTTTCCAATGATATAAAGTCAATTTATTTCCGGGGTTTGAACAGAGAAACCTTTTTCCCCCACTAAAAAAAAGGATGTGGAGCTCTTGTGGGCTCAAAATGGTAGATGCAGCCACCAGAAGGCTGATCAGCGATCTGGGCCATGACTTGGACCTTGATGGGATATGTTTGGATTGATAATTAAGTGGATAAGTGGATAAGAGTTAGTGGGAAGGGGATATATGAGATATTAAAAGGATTTTTCTAGGGTTTGATTCGATGTTGCTTTGTGTTGCTGAGAAGAACCGTTTGGACAAAAAGCCTTAGGTCGGGCAGGCCTAAGATGGAATCCTTTTTTAGAGGCTTTAGAAAGCGCTGGGCAGGCCAAACACGGATCCTTTTTTTAGGGCCTTTAAAAAGCGCTCGGCAGGCCAAAGACGGATCCTTTTTTTGCCTGGTTTTAAAAGAATTGTGCAGGTTAAAGCCTGCAAGTTTTGCTCCTGGACTGCTTGAAAACTTCTTGAGAAACTCCATGTGCTAGAGTGGATCCTTTTTGCAGGGAGCAAAAAAAGGATTCGGACGCTTCTGGGATCCATAAAGCCACTAAAAACACCCCTGCGTTCGGAACACGCGTTCCAGAACGTACGTTTTGCGTTCTGCGTTGTGAACGTGCTAAGGTCCTTAGACATTTCAGGCTGCAACTATTCCAAATCCACGCTTTGGTTCTTCATGATTTACTATCCGTGTCCATTGGGCCAATGCGAGCAAAAGCATGTAGGGTTTGTCCGAACATATTGGCAAAACCCAAAATTTACTGGTTAATCGGTTAATCATTTTTTTCCTTGATTTCGATAGCATTTTCTGAGGTATACCCAATGTTTATCCATTTTTCAGACCCATCTCTTGTCGTCATGACGTCTTTCGTCCCCGCTCACGTTGAACGTCCTGAGAGGTGCCGAGGACGAGTCGGCATTGCCAAAGCCTCAGGACTTTGTCTGGGAATCTATGACGAAAATCATAGGACCATACATGGAATAATGACAATTAATCTATCCAGTGGTTAGGAGGGAACCAAGGAGCTAGGTGTATGTATCCATATTCCCTATATATTCATATATATTCCCTATTCAATGGGGAGCCAGTTGGAGCTACTTAGAGTTTTCCAACCATCAAAGAGTAATTGATGTTGTTTTTGATTGTGTCCTTCCAAGCCCAGTTCTTCGGCATTCAGAAACCGCAAAGCTGCAACCGGATCCTGCATGCGTCACCCTGGTGCCGTTGGTCTTCTTTGGCTAGAGTGACACCACATGTGCCATTTGAACATTCCAAGAACAACCCGAAATTTGAATAAAGGCAGAAATTGCGATGGGTATTCAGAGTGACAGCTTCTCTGTTTGTAGTGCGTGCCAGTTTCTCTATTTGTTCAGCTTAGATTGACATGTTGTGACCCGTAGCTACTTTCAAAGTCAGAAAAATATCAGCAAAGTATCGACAAACATTGAAACACTGTCGAACAAATGGTTGAATCTTCCGAATGGTTTTGACTCCGGAAGACGGCACATACACGACCCATGGCATGACCTTTAGGCTTTTCATCCCCGTGACCCGTGGCCAGGTCCCATTGTTATCATTTGCCTATCAAAGACTACGGGCAGCTGAAGCCCTTGCGACTGCCGCGACGTCAGGGTATTAAAAAGATGGCCTTTGCAGGGGGTAATCTCGGGGATGGATCAAACCAAAACCGAGATTTCATTCGATTTCCTGAGATTTCGTGATGTCCATAATTGTTCGTGGATGAACATCCATAAACACTCGTTTTTGACCAGGCTACTAATCTGTTTAATCTGGTGCACTGACCGGACCAATGGAAAATCCACCATTTACAGATGATTTTCCAATTACCCTCTGGTAAACTGACATAGCTATTGAAGATGGCCATAGAAATAGTTGATTTACCTATTGACAGTGGGGATTTTCCATAGTTATATTAGTTTACCAGAGGGTAAAGCTCTGGGCATTTCCCATTGCCACGTTTGATTGCCAGTTTTTTTTTCTAAAGGGAGGTTTCTTGGGAGTTTTGTTCTGACCACAGCACTGTAGCATAGCGTAGCTGTAAATGGCAACGACTGAAATGCTGTCAGCCTACTTACCCCATAGTTTTCATGGGTAAAACGGTGGCAGTTCTGGGTGGGGTTATCCCAGTTCACATTGAAACTTGTAATGTGATGTGTCAGGTTTTGACTGCCCCAAATTATGTCAAAATTCCTGGGGAAGAATATGGTAGAACCGCGTTTTTTTTTTTTGTTGTGCCTAACTTTGAGACATATACCCCTAAAGTCTTGCCGTTGAAGTGTTGAAGTGTTGAAGCCAAACGGATGTGGACCCATCAGTTCAACCTACGCGTACAGAGGTGTTGGGGTGTGCTTTTTATTTCAGGCTCCTAGAGTCCTAGAGCACGTTGGACATAGCTGAAACATGAAAGCTCCAAAAAAGCCTTTGGATGATGCACAAAATTAGGGCCACTTCTTGGTCAAATGTCTGATCCTCAAAATGTTGCGACTTCTTAGTTGAGAATGCACTGTGGATGTGCGGAGAAGCAATCCCCTGATTTTGACCAGAGATGAACAGTCCGCCATCAGGAAAAGTAGCCCTGCAATGCCCCACGGTTTCTGCAAATCTGCAACCTTCCAGTTTTACACATTGCACAATGGCAGAAGAGGCCGATATCGCGCATGATGAGGCTCTCAATAGCCGGCAGTGTGCATCCTGGGACTTGAGATTTCACATTTTTTGGGATGGGATGCCATGCAGTGAAATCCCAAAGTCTGCGTCTTCAACGATGAGTGGTTGCACAACCAGGTGTCTTAAAGTGGAGGTTTACAGCATTTTATAACATCTCCAACCTCCTGGCCCATGTTCTGTGCCGTAGGTGATCGTGATGATGTAGCAGAATACAGTTGTTGGATATTATTGGTGGAATGAGGAATGCTGATTTTTTTCTCGAAACACATTATAATCAAAATTAGTTATATAAATCGCGACAAGAATTGCAACAGAGTACAGCGGAACCGTTAGATAAGAACCGATTAAGAATTGTCCAGCCTACCCTGAGGTTCTTAAGTGCTATAGGTGGAAAATATGGGAATTGTGAACGAGGGTACCCTCAAGTTCTTAATGGGTTAGTTCTCAACGGGTTCATATGGTGACGATTCATTTTGGCGTGGTATTAGGTTGCCAAGGAGGCGGGGGGAAGAAAAAAACTTTTAGGTCCCCAAAAGTTTTTCAGGTGCAGGCATTCTAAACAGAGCTATAGGCCAGATATTCCACCATGCCAGGGCTTGAAAGTTTAGTATAGTGGCTAGAATTCCAGGGTACCCTAGGGTTCTGATTTCAATTAGCTGACAGAAAGGGTTGAATCCAGCAATCCAGCCCCTGAAATTCTTATTGCAGTAGGTTCTTAAACAGTGGTTTCACTGTACTGAGACACCATTGATTTTGCTGGATCCAACCTGGAGCATCCAGGCGAGGACAATGGACCTGGCCAGTGCCTTCATGCAGTACGTGCAGCGCTGTCCCCATGTCATGCAATCCATTCAGGCCGCTGTGACGATTGCCGTTCAAAGTGAGTTGAAAAAACATGAACATCTCCAAAACGCAGAGACCCCATTCTTCACCAGCATTCCAAGGTGAAGTGTGTGGTTTTTCAGTGTCTCTGGCCTTTCTACCTACGTCTTTTCCACAGTTTTTGTCCCCTTTTCAGCCAGGGCTTTGTCGGTGAGAATTGCCATCACTTTGCGGATCTCGCGGTTTGTTTGGATCTCGGGATGCAGAGACAATGGTGGATCTGTGTGGATTTGTAAACGAAAATGGTCTATAGGGCTATATTATGGAATATTATGGAAATGATGATAAATGGGACGAACTTGGGATATCCCAGTCTGAATTATATGAAACTTGCCACTGGAATCGGTAGATGTGAAGCCTAAGCCGATGATCAGCTCTTTGGACTAACAACACCTGGGAACCTCAAAGGAACAGTGAAACCGATAGATTGTGATCATGTTTTTCCTGCAAAAGTAGAGATGAGATTTCCATGGGTGATTTGTGTTGTATGATGTATGCCCCATGAAACGATCCATGTCTTGCCGTTTCACCATGACGAGTGGTCATTCATTCCCATAGCCTGTTGCTAGGTGAAGAACGCAGACTCGAGCGCGGCTCTCGGGCATGTGTTCAGCACCAAAATGCTGAGGATTTTTGGGAGCTGAAACAGACCACCTTTTCCGGGCCAATATGTTTGACCATGTTTGACCCATTAAACCAATATAAAACATCTTCAAAGATACATGTCGATTGGCAAAGAACGTTCGCAACTGAACCTGACACTGTTGGGAACATTTTGGGAACATTTTGGGAACATGTTGTAAGAGCGACTCCATTGATGTGATCTCAAAGTATCATCACGTGATTTGTCTTCGCTGGACGAAACTTGGTAGGTACTGACTGTAGTCACGGTTGTTTTCTCGCAGGTACACCACGATTCATCAACAGTTCCTTGCACTGTTGGAGCAACATGTAGAGGTCCAGCTGGGGGAGGCCACCTCAACGGTTCTGGCAGTTGTTTCTCCATTTGATTGGGGGAATCAATGGCCGGTCAGAGAGTTTGGGGGTAAAATTGAAGGAAAGTTGAGGGTTGATTCGACCAGTTTCAGGGGTTAAAATATGCTGAAGCATGTTGAACTGGCAACAAAGATAGGTTTTTGAGCAAGAATCTGCACGTTTTCAGCGACGTTTCTGATTGAAAAATGTTGAAAAACCTTTCTTGCTGGTTTTTCATCATGTTGAATCCCCTATTTTTTGGGTTGGTTCATGAACCAGCAGCCAGGCGTTTCTGCAATTTCAGGGCGCTTCGGAGTCAGAGTTCCTGGAAGCTCTTCAATCAGTGCAGGCTGGCACCGGAGGTTGCCAAAGAGGGATGACAAAACGAACAAAGATGGGATGTAGCAGTATATATATATACATATAACATTATCTGTCTATAATGGGTATACAGTCGGTGTTTATGCATATGCATATGTCTATGTATATGTCTATGTCTATGTATATGTATATGTATATATATATATATACATGTATATGTATATGTATATATGCATATGTATATGTGTATATGTGTGTATATGTGTGTATGTATATGTATATGTATATGTGTATATGTATATGTATATGTATATGTATATGTGATTCTCATCAATTTTCCAGTTCGCAAACTGTTAAATAACCAGAGGATACTAATACATGCTGTGGATCTATTGATAGCCCACCTTGATCCAAATCTGCCAGAGGAGGCTGGTGAGTGGAAACCCTTCAAGTCGTTACTGGACAAAACCGTTGGGGAGTCAAAGCCGCTTTAGGGCTTTAGGCGAACGATGGGAAGATGGGGGTCATGTGGGAAACCCAAGGCTAGGCTACTTACAATCCCAAGAACCAACCATGACTTGCGGTCGTTTGGGGTGTACATCATGTAATAATCCACGGGTTTTATTCCAGGGTATGTCCGATCACGAGCCGGGATGGTTTCTGTTTGGGTTTACCACATGGCAAGAAATCAAGATATTGATGCAACAAAAGATGGTGAGCTTTACCAATCTACAATTTATGGAAAATGGTTGATATGTTAAGCAACAAAAAAAAGGCATTAATCATATTTGGTTCAAACATGGTTGACACATATTCGTAAGTTTAACCCAAAAATGGGGATACAATCAATGACCAGCAATACAGAGGGGCATGCCGGGATGTGATTATGTATCTGGGAAATAATGGCCGAGAAAGAATTGCCGAATAAACGCAAATAATAGAGAATAATATAGATATATAGTGGTACGTATATATATATGATATATGGATGATTATCATTTTATATCAACCATTTTTCAATATCTATTTCCATCTATTTCCCTTAATTCGCAATTTTCCTGGAAATTTTGCGAGTGTTTGTCACCGTCGGGGATTTTCATGGATTTCGATTGGAGCAAATGATCATGGAATGGTCGGTCATTTAAAGCCTATTTACTCTTTGGTAATTTAATATAATATAGCTATGGAAAATCCCCATTGATAGATGTGGCTATTCAAAATGGTGATGTGTCATAGCTATGTTATGTTTGTTTACGGGAGGGTATATTTTGTATATTTAACCAGATCCGGGACGATGATCGCATTTTTTTGTCTTTTAAGGATGGGTGGCAAAAGATCATCATTCACTTACGGATTGGATTACAACAACACCTACAAAAAGATAGAGCAGTGGTTGGTGTTTGTTTTATAATTTATTCATATATACAAAATTATATATATATATATTATTCCATCATAAATATTCCATTCTCTCCTATTGTAGATTGACTAGTTTCCTATATTTTTTCTTTCCCACGGGTATTAACATATTCTTGCAGATGTCCTACAAAAACAAGTTGCTGGGGCTAAGCCACAGCTCAGGACTACCACGCTTTCGCCAAGATGATGCAAATCCAGGTGAGCTGCGCTATAAACTCTTTATGTATTGGTGAGTAAGGGGACGGTCATAAGGTGGCTTCGCGTAAGCCAAAACTGCAGTGGCGTAAGAGCTGCGCAAGGTTTTTGGCTTTGAATGTTGTGCGTAAGCCTGCGTAAGGCATGCTTGAAAAGCACCTTTTGGCTAAAGAATGAAAGAAACATGAGGGTCAATATGCTTGGTCACGTTGATGACAGTCAAATGGAAGGGAAACCGAGCTCCAGATATTGCAGACTAGGCAAAACCAGTGTGGCCACGGTTCGGTTCGGTTTTACAGGAAGTCGGTTCGGTTCCTAAACGGTTCGGTTCCTATAGAAACCGGTTTTTCCGGTTCCACGGTTCCAATTTGTTCGGGTTGAGAAATGTTCATTGCTGCCACGAAACCAATTTTGAAAAAAGAATGTGTTTTTTCGCGTAAGGAACGCGTAAGGTATGCGTAAGGAACGCGTAAGGCCCACCTGCTTTATCTGGACAGTTGCCCCATGGCCCCGAAACGTCGCCCCATGGCCCGAATGGCCCCGTAAGCCCCGAAAAGCAGGCTCGAAAGCGTCGACCGCAACAGGCAACATTGAAAGCTGACGGTTCAGGCTCGTCCTCAACATCCTCTTCTTCAACATCTTCATCTTCGGATTCGACAAATGATGAATGACGCACTGAAATAAATACTCTGTTGAAAAAAAGGCCGCGTAAGGAACGTGTCACGAAAAAAGATGACTTTGTGGTGACTTACTTTCGCGTAAGCCTTGCGTAAGCCCATAGAAAGCCCAGATCCCCGCGTAAGAGAAACCCCCAATAGCGTAAGGATGCGCAAGCATGTGCGTAAGCATGTTCTTACGACCTAAGAATCTATCAAGGTTTCCAGCATGGCTCAGGTGCAATGATTCAATGGGAATTCCAGGATCCTAAAATGGAGGTACTGCACCATATAAGGCCATATTTTGTGGGGATATTCACTTACATAGCTCTAAAAAATAGGCCTTATATATGGCAGGTACCTCCAATCAATCGGTTCCTGAAATGGCCATTGAATGATGACCTCTCATTGTCAATGAGGGTTGCCCTCTGGTAAATTACCAGTTGGGCCCTGAAACCCTTAGATTTTGAGTCAAAACTAATCTTCCGAGCCCTGGCAGAGTCTATGTTACTGGAGGGTTAACATACAGAGGGACTCTGGATGATTCCCTTTGGTTTATATATAAACATAATATGGAATGATGTGAATAAATCTATGCAATTATATACATTCCCTAATATACTTTTACCGACATTTGGATCATGATCCAATAGAATCCAGAATGCAGATGACTCCCTTTTATTTAATTTGGATTAAAAGAGTAATCCCAACATATCCAAACTGGGCGAATTTATCTGAACTATGATTTTTTTGGTTATATTTTGACATACTTTGGCTAGAATGGTTGAAAACGACCGGTGATGACCGCTGAAGTTTGGATGTTGGCCATTTCACGACTTGCCCGATTTTCTTCAGGCTGTGGGTATCGGCCCTCATTGAAATTTCAATAAAGAAATCCACGAAACAAAAATATAACATAATTATATAATATTTATTTAATATTCTAATATTCTATAATTGTAAAATTATACGACACCTATATATATAAATAAATAAATCGATACCTTCAAAATTAATTTATAATATATTTATATTTATATATTTTATTTTATTTTTATTTATTACACTATATTTTTTATCTCTATTTTTTTTATTTTATATTAATATTATTACTACATAATTACACTATAATATTTATTAATAATTATTACTATTATAATAATAATTACTATTATTACGATAACGACATTTAAATATGTGGAGGGCGGGCTATTTAAATGGCCGGACGGCCTAAGGAAAATTTTCCCGGAGGTAATTTTAAATTCTTATTTATATATTTAAAAATAGATATATTTAAATATATTTATTATATTATAATAAAAATAATAAAAATTACCATTATATTATATTATGATTATAATTAAAAATTTAAATATACTATATTATAATTAAAATAATAAAAATAATAATTTTTTTTATAATATGGAAAATATAAAAAATAATAATATAAAAAAATAATAATAATAATTATTATTATTATATTGAAATAAATAATTTAGAAAATAATATATATATATTTTTATTTGATAATATTATAAAAAATACAATAAAATATAATAATATTGAGGAGGAAAATAATAATATTAAAAATTATAATGAAATATAATAATATTAAATAAAATAATAAAAATATATAATAATGGTTATAATTTAATTTATATAATTTTTTATATTTTTTTTTTTATTAGGTGAGATTTATTAAATTTTATTAAAATTTTTTTCTTTATTTTCCTTTTTTTCCTCCTTTTTTTCCTCCTTTTTTTCCTCCTTTTTTTCCTCCTTTTTTTCCTCCTTTTTTTTCTCCTTTTTTTTCTCCTTTTTTTTCTCCTTTTTTTTCTCCTTTTTTTTTTCCTTTTTTTCCTCCTTTTTTTCCTCCTTTTTTTCCTCCTTTTTTTCCTCCTTTTTTTCCTCCTTTTTTTCCTCCTCCTTCTTCTTCCTCCTCCTTTTTTATCTTATTTATTTCTATTTTTATATCTATTGTTATTTTGCTAATTCTTGACTAAATTCATTGCTAATTTCGGAGCTTAATATACAGTACTGGATTTCAATCTGGGACCTTCCCAGCTCAATACGCACCGCTGGACCTCCACCTGGGACCTTCCTAGCTCAGTGCGCACCGCTGGACCTTAACCTGGGAGTTGCTGAGCTCAGTACGCACCGCTGGACCTCAACCTGGGGTTTTCCGAGCTTAATACATACCGCTGGAATTTAAAAACCAAATAAAATGCCAAAAAATATCCCAAATAAAATATTAAATAAAATATAAAAAAAATATATCAGATAAAATACCATAAAATTTACCAAATAATATGTCAGAAAATATGCCTAATAAAATATTAAAAAATATATCAAAAAATATGTTAAAAAATATACCAGATAAAATACCAGAATCTTTATCAAATAAAATACCACAAGATATGTTAAATAATATATCAAAAAATATGTTAAATATCATTGTACCAGAAAATATGCCAGAACATCTGCCAGAAGATATGCCAGGTAGAATGTCAAAAGCTATGCCAGATAAAATGCCAGATAAAATGCCAGATAAAATGCCAGATAAAATATCACAAGATATATTAAATAAAATACCAAAAAATATATGAAATAAAATTCCAGATAATATATGAAATAAAATTCCAGATAATAT